TCTGTTTTATGACCTTCTCATAGAGATTTCAGGTGTGTGCACACATAATACACACATTTAGAAAAACTCTAGCTTTGCATCTAGGTATTAAAATAAAGTCTTAATACATAAAAAAATACTCTCTCTGTTTCATAAAGTGTTTCCTATTTTGACTTTTAGGAATAATGAGTTTTATTTTTGGTTGACTTTCCAATTTTGCCCTTAAGGTAATGGGTAAAAGTAAGATGTGATGGGTAGATTATTAATGAGAAAGTATGATGTGATAGGTAGGGTAAGAAAAAGTAGGGGTAAAAGTGGTTTTTTAATACAGCGTGGAAGTGTTTTAGGGAAAACAAAAAAATGAAATAGGAAGTGTTTTAAGAAGCGGAGGGAGTAATTAATAGCAGTAGAACAAATAAAAAATATGAGTTTTAGAAAGTTTCTATGACCTCCTCCATTTCAAGTTCATAGCAATACTCGATGACCTTTTTCCTCACAGATTTTTTCCCTTTGGTAGGTCCTGCTGACCTTGAAACTTCACTTTCATCAACCTGCATAGAAAAAAAATTGCAAATGTTACACGATGTATTAGGATGAATGTTCAATTAATTACTGTAACAATAAATACAGTTGTTACATGGATAATAAATATTCCTTCCATCCCAAAAAGGTATTCATTTTTTAGATTCACATTATGTTTACTATGCACACATTACAACAACAATAACCCAGTAGGATCTCACGAAAGAATGGTCTATGGAGGGTGTGTACGTAGACCTTATCCCTACTCGAAAGTAGAGAGGTGTTTCCATCCCCGGCTCGAGCATCAGAGAGGCATACAACACGAACACACAAGCAAAGGGCAATTTAAAGATAAAGAAAAACACACAGAGACACAGGTACCAATCAAAGAAGGCACACAACGAAAAGAGCAAAACTATCACCAAGGCCCAACACGAATATCCAACTACCTTAATCTTATATCTCCAGTTGCTCCTATCTATGGTCATATACTCATAACCTTGGTAAAGGCCAAAAATTCTTAAGTCATGTCTAATCACCTCCTTCTTATTCTTCTTATGTCTACCCTGCATCTCCGCACTGGTCAGCGCATCGCCGATTCACATGTCCAAACCACTTTAACATAGCTTCCGGCAGCTTAGCCTCCATAAGTGCCACTTCCACCCGTCATTGTATAACCTAGTTCCGAGTCCTCTCTGATAGAATTTAGGATTGGGTAGAGACAACTGGATTGGGCTATAAGACACTTGGGTTGAACCATATTAAAAGATTGAATTCAATCGATTAGTTAGTTTAACTCAAAAGCTTATAAACCGGATTATTTTACTCACACTTTTCCGATGTGGGATACTCTTAACACTCCCCCTCAAGTGGACAACTGGGCCATTTTGAATCTAACCGGTTAACCACTTGCAAATGAACTCTCATTCCCTTGACTTTCCTTTTTTTTTGAGCGCCAACACCTAAAGGACCACGAGCCGCTGGGTATGGACTTCCAGACGAGCAATCGTGTTAAACGGGCCACAGGCCGTTGGGTACATACTCCATACGGAACACTGGGCTAAAGACAAACGGGCCGCTAGGAATGAACGTCTAGACGGACACCTTGACAAACGAGGTGGGCCAAAACCGGCTTTGATACCATGATAGAATTTAGGATTGGATAGAGACAACTGGATTGGGCTATAAGACACTTGGGTTGAACCATATTAAAAGATTGAATTCAATCGATTAGTTAGTTTAACTCAAGAGCTTATATACCGAATTATTTTACTCACACTTTTCCGATGTGGGATACTCTTAACACCCCCTTGTCTGCCCACGCCTCTACTGCAACATTCGCATCTCTGCGAAATGTAGTTGACAAACATGGGTTTTCCTAAATGCTCAACACTCCGCTCCGTACAACATAGCCGGTTTACTATACACACATTATGTTTAAATGTTCACGAAGTCAACTTGTATCTTCTTTTCTTACATATTTTCATTAATCCTTTGTTGATATAACATAGTCAAGCCACATCTTATTTTGTAGAACTCTGGATATAGTTTTTTAACATATAAATTTATTTATTTTTAATTTTACACCAATGTTGAAATAACTTGAATTGAAATTCACTTAGTCAAGTACTCAAGTATCGTAAAGTGCAACATCAAGGTCTTTTTGGGACGGAGGGTGTAAATAATAATGAAAAATTAAGTTGAAATCATGTTTTAACACGATCCCCAACTTGTATAGTCATAAAGAAGAAAAGACCTTTTCAACTTCAGTCATAAAGTAATCATCTATCGAGTGAATTCGTGGGGCATTACCACCGTTCTCAACCTCAAGGTCACGCAACATTTTTGCCAAATAGCTCTTTCCGCTCCCTGAAAAAGTAAAAAATGATGTTAACTACCAATCATGACTTGAATTGACTTCTAAGCACGCCTGCTTGTGCAATAAGAAATAAAGAAATAAAGTTGTGATGGAAAAATTGCCAGAATCTACTAAAAATTTAAAGAGCGTGATGTTTAGATATCATTTAAAGTGACAATCTCCAAAAGTTGAACAACAACAACACTAAAGGTAAACTCTGCTGGCCACTCAAAGACACAAGTAGCCAAGTGCTTTAACAGGTATGGAGAACAATATTTAAAAAAAATAATGCTGCAGTAAGAGACATAAAAGAACACCTGGAAGCCCCCGAAGGATTACAACTATGTGAGCAGGCCGAGCAGATCTGTGTGGATGCTTAAATATGTGAATTGCATCTACAATAGTAGGCTTATCTGAAGATAGATGCCTTGCAGGATACTGTTCACTTTCTCCCGGGCCAATCCTTGGTGACGCATAGTGAAAACTCTGAAGTTCATCAAAACCATATTTGTTAGCAGCAATGTGGACACTTGCGCATGACTAGCATTTGGCTAGGACCAAGAAGGAAGCGTTATGTGTATCCTTTAAACAGATTATATTTTCTTTAAGGGACCTCCTTCCAGGTTCCTTAACCCTTATCAGCCACCCTCTTAACAAAATACACTTCCCAGCAAAAAAAATAAAAACAGAATAAATTGCAAAAACAAATTGAAAAAAAAAACAAAGAATGCAGCGATAAGAATTTCTGAATTTCAGACTAAAAGAAAATGAAAGAATACATGATTATTATATGTACATCCATGTGGTTCTAAGAGTAAGATCATTTTTAAAATGGAAAAACGATTCAATTCTGCAAAATAAAGAAATGTCTCACAAATTTGCAGGCAACATAAATGAATAAAAATCAGGAGTAAATTCAATAAAAGATCCTCAGTTATAGGTCGTTTTACATATTTAGTCCCTACATATCAAATCTTACTAATTTAGTCCCCAATTATTATATCCATTTCCATGAATGGTCCTTTGTTAACATTTCCGTTAAGAATGTGGATAAAATTCTAAATTCACACTCCTTTCTCTCCTCAATTAAGCTTCCTCCCTCCCCTCGCACTCCTTTTCCATACCCGTTGATGAGTTTGAAGCTTTGAACCCAAAACCAAAATCATCACTCTTCTCTCAATTGTTTGTCTAACTGGTGGAACCCAAATTTGAAACCGGAAACATTCATGGATGAGTTTTAATGTTTATTTTCTTTGCAATTTCTTGAGACTAACCGATAAAACTCGTTCATAAAGTTTATTGGTTTTGATTTTAGGTTCCACCAAGAAGACTAATAATTGAGAGAGGAATGATCATTTCAGTTTTGGGTTTAGAGCTTCAAACTCAGCGACGAGTTTGGGAAAGAGTACAAGAAGAGGGTGGAAGCTTAATTGAGGAGAGAGAGAAGTATGAATATACAATTTTGTCCATGTTCTTCACAAAAAAGTTAACAAAGGATCATTCGTGAAAAATGATATAATAATTGGGGATTAAATTAGTAATATTTGATATGTAGGGACTAAATATGTAAAACGACCTATAACTGGGGACCTTTTATGGAATTTACTCAAAAATCAGCAAGAATATTGTACTCCTATATATAACGCCAAAAAGGGGAAGCATGACAAATCAAAGCACTATGACTTCAATGAAAACTATAATCAATGTGACTTTGTCGTTCCCATCCCTCCATCAAAAGCTAATCTAACCTATGAGGTATGATAATATGACAAACATAACATATCACATAAAAAGACGGTTGAACTCTAATTCGAATAAAGGCACAACAAACTCAATGTGTCTGCCACATTCGGTACTGCAAAAGCAAAGAACCTCATTTCTTGGGCCATTTTTTCAATAAACTAGCTATGCTTGATAACATCTGGACTTTATTCCATTTTAGAAATTATTCCCGATAAGAATTGTCAAATGTATATGTAAACTCCAAAAGGGGTTTCCACTTGTGGACTTCCAGGAGCTAAAGAGAACACTAGCATCACTACAAGGTTCAATATTTAAAGAGTTGATTAAATTGGAGAAACGGCAAATACCTCTATAGCAAATCCAGAAGGAGGTTTTGAATTTCCAATTGTATGATAGTAGGATTGTGCTGCATCAGTGCCTGGGAGATAGTTAGGCATAGAAACTGATGCGCCGGCATGAATGGGAAACAATGAAGGTGTTGTTCTTGGTGGTGATGATGAAACAGGAGTTCCTGCAAGAAGAGGTGGCGGTGAGTCATGGAGTGGTGTAATTTCAGACACTGTTGATTGCCTCCTTGAACCAAATTGATTTTGCTTTGGGTAAAAATCAGATAACGAGCCATTACTGCTATTTTCTAAGGTAAACCCAAGAGAAGCATTTTGTTCATGCTGCATAATATTGCGCCGCGGGTCTAAGTTATTGTAACTATAAGCAGGACCATCGTTAAATCCATGGTCATTCCTCTGACCATGCTGCAGCTCATATTGTCCCTGGTTTCTGTCACCATGCCCAAAATCAGGAAATTCAATCGTGCCCTTTCCATGATGTTCTATTGTGTCATGATCTCTACGACTTCCAGGATCATGATCCGTTGGCCCACCATGATCATGAATCAATTTTAATCTCCTTTCATAGTCAACTGAAAACCTAGCCGATTTTGCACAACTTTCACTAGAGTCATCGTAATGCTTCCTCTTAGCTCCAGCATTACCTTGAACAAAATTATCTTTCGAATTTAAACTTCCATAAAGATTGCTATTAAAATTAACACCTTGGTTCCACGGCAAAGGAAGAGCTTCGTAACGATCCATATATGGGCGGCGGTGAGGATGCATTGGGGGGGCGCTTTGGTGATCCAATATTGGGTCGAAAGCTAGTTGCGGCGGTGCTAGAGGTGGCTGTCTATGGTAGAAGTGGCCGGGATGTGGCGGATGTTGTGGGATAGGGTTGGGAGGATACGGCGGCGGCGGATGGCAGAAAGGGAAGTGAGGGTAGTAACAGACCGGGCAGCAATCACCTTGCGACGGGTGAGGTTGTGGCGGAGGCGGTCGCCATGGATAGGCCATCTTGGATCTCGATTCTTCGCAGTCTCTTCTCAATAGGGGAGGGGAAGTTGAACTCTGTTTTTAGGAATAGCTATGAAAATTCCGAGTCAAGATTTTTAGACCCCGTCAAGTATATGCAAAATTTTGAAGGGATTGGTTTTTTTTAGTACGTCTAAATTTTAAAAAGTTAGTCAATAACTATTAATTAATTAATTATTAAGATGGTATTCATCAATTCAGTAGGAATGTAAATGGATATTAATCTAATCAAATGTATCATTACCAGATCCGTATCCGTTTATTTTATCGGATATCAAATTCAGATACGAATCTTGACGGATACTAAAAATCAAAATCATATCCGCATCCATCGGATATCGGATATATTCGTATCTATTTCCACTTTTTTAAGTTAAATTGAAAAATACTTTAATTTCTAATTAAAATAAAGTCAAAATATTATTTATTCAATTGTAATTTATTACGGAGAAATTTTCTTATTTTTTTATAATTTATACTCCCTCTGTCCCTGAAAACATTTTTCCTTTCTTTTTTCATCCGTCCCAAAAAACACTTCTCATTTCTATTAAAAAGTCACTTTTACCTCTTACTTTTTCATACCCTACCTATCACATCATACCTTTTTACTAATAATCTATCTATCAAATCATACTTTTACCCATCACATCATATTTTTGGAAATTCAATACCAAAATACAATCCCTTTAAATCTCTCTTCAAAATCAAAACTCCCATGTTTTCCGGGACGAAGGGAGTAGTATTTTACGACAATTTCATATGGTAAAAAAATATACACGATACACATACACAAATATTTTTATGTCTCTGCACATATTCTTATGTATGTACACATATATTTTGAATACAAAAATGTCTTATACTTTGAGATGTCAATTAAAAAAAATATAATAATAAAAAATTAGGAAAAATTATATATAACGGATCGGATATACGGATAAACAGTTACTTAAACGGATGTCTGTGCAGAGCGGATTATAAGTGGATCAGATGTATGAATTATGATTACCAAATCCGTATTCATATCAATTGGATATCCTTAATTGGATACGGATAATTACTGCGTTTAACGGATGAGGATATTTTCCGTATAAACGGATACTGAAAATAACACTCGGTCCATTTCCCCCAATTAACAGCCCTACAATTGAGGATAATGCTCAATCCAGTTTCCCCAATTAACAACTGTTAATATGACGTTGAACCTTGTATTACTTTTTCAAAATGCTACTTTCTAACGGGATGTTTTTTCAAATTGGTTCTTTATTAAATAAATATAAATCAATAATGAAAAAAATATTTTAAATTTCAAAGGAAGAGAATATAATACTAAAAACTATAAATATAATTTTATAAATTTGAAAGTAAACATTTTAGGTTATACTCAGAGTACAATTACTCAGAAGATTATCATATAAAACATTGAGAAAGTAGCAAAATAGAAGCTCTTTCTCTATGTTTTAAAGCAAAATAGAAGCTCTTTCTTTATGTTTTAAACGGAGAGAGCTCTCTCCGTTTAAATAAATCCTTTCCCTTTTGAGTTTTAGCCAAAATAAGAAAAGTACTCCAAGTATATTTATGGTTGACTTTCTAATTTTATCTCTGATGTGTATGGTAAAAGTAATATATGTAATAGTTAGATTACTAATGAAAAAAGTATGATGTAATAATTAGATTATTAGAAAAAAAAGTATTATAAAATATGATACTTAAAATAAATAAAAATAAACTCTGTAAATTATTTTTTTATTTTATAAAATTTTATTTTTAATTTTTGACCGCATATTTAAAAAAATGAAGGAGTTTAAAAAAGTAGAAGAACTTAAATGAAATTCAGATGATGACTTGAAAGTACTCCCTTCGTCCCGCAAAAAACTTCTCATTTTGATTTTTAAAGGATCTAAGGGGAGTCTATTTGAGGTTGACTTTCAAAGATGCTCTTTGATGTGATGGATAAAGTAGGATGTGATGATTAGATTAATAGAGTTAGATTGACAAATGAATTGTAACTACAAATTTTATTTTGGGATAGAGGGAGTATTTTTTTTATTCTATTTATTTCGCTTTTAGTTGAAATAAAAAATGTAGTTTCTTTCTCTTTCTTTCATTACCTTTTTCTATTATTTTTTCTTTTACTTCATACAAAGTATTTTATTTCATTTTCATATTTTTCATTTTCTTGTGTAATGTTCTCCAAAAACATATTCTATTTTGAAAAATAAATAAATGAATTTTAGATGCAGAGTGTAGATGTTATTTTAATTATCGTTTGTATAAACAAGAAAAATTGAAAATAAAAGAATAAACTTTGATACATTTTCATTCATTATTTGATACAATAAAATATTCTTGACATTTTTTATTTGAAGAATTTTACATGTACTTTTTAAATATGTAAATTTTATTTTTTATTTCTATACTAATATTTAAATAAAAAATTGAAAAAACTCAATATTTTACCTCGTTTTTTTGAAATGTAGTACATATTTAGGGACAGATGAAGTATATGTGATTCTGGTGTTTCTTTTGTAAACCACGGAAGGCACCCGTACTATTAGTCCCATGAAATTGATCACTATCTTGTGAGCTAGATTCAGTACTACTCCATAATAACTTAGTCCTAACATTGACAAATGAGAATAATAAATTAAATTAATTGACATCTTTGGTGTATTTGATAAAGACAGACGTAGACTTTGTTTTAATTTAAATACCCAAAGAATTTTAATGCCAGCTAACTCATAATACACACATGATCCAAAGCATTCATGAGAAAATTTACAACTGCAAGTAATTTTTTTTAAAATCCGTTTATTATCTACTATCAATCAATTAATTATACTAATGTATTAATTTAAACCCATTCCATAATATTTGATGTAATATAGTCAATAATATAACAGTGAAAAAATCGTGAAATACCACTCGGTTCTAATATGCAGAAAATGTTGTTATACTTTTTTTTAATTCGATTTAAATAATTATTTCGTGTTTGGTAATTAATGTACATTTTCAAACACCACTTGAGCACTTAAAAGTTGGTGCTTTACTGCTATAGGTTTAATTAGTTCGGTGGTCTTTGTATTTGTACTCTTGTGCTCTCCTCGTTTTTATATTCTCGAAATTCTACTGCTACGGTAGTATTTCACAATTCGAATTACGTGCAAAACCCGTGAATTTAGATTTAATTTATTCATAAATTATTATAAGAATAAATAAATATAACAAATTTAAAGATTATATCAAAAGTTTTACAAAATAATTGTGATAAGAATATTTTATTTTATCAAATGTTAAATCAAAACATGAAAACAAATACTACCTTTGTCTCTGAGTATTTGTTCAGTTTTGACTTTTTATAATCAACCATTTTTAATAACCTTTGACCCATTATTAAATAAAATATATATTGTATATTAATTAGATAAAATAATATTTTGTATAATAATTCTAAAAAAACTATTGTTGTGTCAATATTTAACATCATTTTTATTTAATTTGAGATCAAAGAATACTAATCTTGACGGGAAAAAGTAAAAAAAAATATAAAACTTATTGAATGACTCAAATAGTAATTTGATCCAATATACTCCAGTGCAAGTAAGAGTTTGTTAGAAAATATTCCTCTCGAATTCAGTGTGTCTCCGTTCTTATCTTTTTATAAGGCTTGACAAAAGTGTACTCACTCGATCTCTGGAGGCCTGATTCAAAAACAATGTGGATTTTGAATAAAAGTTTCGTTCACTGAATCCGAAGATTGATGACGTAATTCAAAATGCCCCGTTAAAAATGGACCAAATGGCCAAAACTTGACCTGACTAGCCTCTCACATTTTTTCTCGTGTATATGGCTCTTAAAATAACTACGAGGCTAGGCACAACTTATGTAGGTAGTAGCAAAATGCTAGTGTAGTTCATTTGGAAAACTTCTTGTGCAGCAAGCTAAGTCTCCCTGGACAGCAAGACACCTCGTACATCAAGCCGGCCAACTCATTTCTTATTTCTCAAAACTTCACACGAGATATATATATAAGATCTGTTTGGAAATAGCGTTGCCGTTTTGAAAATGCTATCTACAGGCAGCGTTTAACGCTAACGTTTTCAAAATAATCTGCACCGTTAAAATTTTAAATAAACCATAAGACACTCTTTTTAGGGTTGTTGCATCATTCCATAAAAATAAAGGCAGCTGGAATCTACTAAATAACAAGATTTAATTTTGTTATAAATATTATTATAATATTAATTAATGTTTTTTAAAAAATAGTTTATATAGTTTAATTTACTTATCACATCACGACGGACCCTAGTTTAAGAAGTACATTCAAAAGTATCAATTTCTTTTAAAACCAGCAAATTGAAAACCACCTACATTCGAACATTTCTAGTTTGATTTTGAAGGTCAGTTTTTTAAACTTTTTGTGATACACACACACACACACAATTTTTAAATATTACATTTGTATAATATATAAACTAATAATCTATCTATAAATAATATATTAATGACCAAAGTGTTACATTAGTATCGCAAAAAGTAAAACGTAAAGGTTCAAAAGAGAGCACAAGTTTTCTACTCATCGAAAATCTGCTGTTCTATATTTATTTGAAACATACATAAAAGAATTTAAGGAAAAACATTAAATGTGTTGTTAATCCCAACCAAAAGAAAAAAAAGTCCAAAATATTTAGGCTCCAATCCGTTTGATACACGGGAATTCAGGCAATGAAATTAGAAATATGGACATTAATTCTAATTATGTTGTTTGGTAGTACAAAAATATATAGGTTTTGAATTGAATTGCAATTCCAAATTTTGCACATCAATTCTAAAAATATGTGAATTTTGGTAACAAAAATATGTGGATGTTTATTTGGAATCATAATACAATTTCATATCAATTATATATAAAACTTTGTGCTACTAAACAAAAATGAATATGAAATTGAATTAGAATTAAATTCCATCCAATTCAATTATATAGAATATCAATTCCAATACCAATTCAATTCCTATTTCATGTACCAAGCACTCTTGA